ACGGAATGCATCACAATCCGCGGCCCCTGGTATGAATGGCGAGTGAAAAGACTGTTTAAATTCAACATAGCTGGACAAAATACATTGGTTTCAACATCATACACGGTTCTCATAAACTTCATGGCATACATTGCCTTCCATTTTATACATACTAATTTTTACAAAATATACAATACAGATTTTCACAACGTTGATTCAAAAGATATTTATGATAGCCGGATAAAAGCAACGTTCAGCAGGCCAAAAGCCACTCTAGATACAAAGTTAAACGATCTAGACGTAGAAAATACATTTAAAATAATAAACATTGTATGTCTTGGTACAAAACTGAGGAGCTTTGAACAGAAATATTCACAAATGATAAATTATTATTCAAAATTAGAAAAGTAGATAACACACTCTGCACTTTCTGCGAATCTAATATAGAAAATGTAGAACATCTCTCTGTTTTCTGCCCATTTTAACAAATAATCATTTTTATACTATCTTAGATAGCAGCAATATAAAGATAAATATAAAAACACATATCAAACATCTTGGTTTTAACTAACAAACCAGATTATATAAATAATACTGAATGGATCTTCATTAATCATGTAAACTAAGTTCTATATATATCGGGCTAAACTACGAAACGAAATACTCAACATTAATAAGTATGAAAGCTTTTTAATAGAACATGCTAAATTGGAAATTGAGATATCTCCCGAATTATACATAAATAAATGGAAATATCTTTTTAAGACTTCCTCCATACCGATTCCCCATTGATAGATACCATGTACTTAGATCTGTGTATAGTAGGAACCCGTGTAATTAACCGTTTATACAGAAAATCTATTTTATTTTTATGATATAAATGTACGTAACACGTGCTTATAAATATTGACGTAAATAAAAGTGTATTGTTTAAAATAAAATGACCTTATGTTTGTCTCCAAAGTATCGGGTTAACGAGACTTTAACCTTTTAAGCTCCGTTCACTCCATTAAAACCACATTAATATCCATTAAAATCGCATTAATTTCCAGTAATGTTCGTGTTTGTTTGCATAACCAACAGTTGTCACTATAATATTTAAACAAATAGATAATGAAAAGAGAATATGTTGAAATATTCAGTCAAGCAATTTATTCTGAGCGGGTTTGCAGAATAGTGTAGTCCCGATTGTCATTACTACTGTTGTTATGATAATAAATCAATTCTCGATTATCCATGAGAGTTATCACTATAGTATGCACACAAGGGAATATATTGAAAGTTTCAGTCAGAGCACTTCATTCTAAGCGGAGTTATCGTCGTTTTGTCTCGATTGTCATTACTACCGTTGTTCGGACAATAAATAAATTCTCGAATATCCATTTTTAAATTAAATTATATAAGATCTGTATAAAAACCTGAGAGTTCTCGCTATAATAGCTAATGAAAATGCTGAACATTTCAGTCAAATTACTTCATCCTGAATTGAAGTTATCGCCGTTTGCAGAACAATGTAGTCTCGATTAACATCACTACCGTTATCATAAACAGAGTCACGATTATCCAATTGAAATCTGTTGAAAATCAAAACTGACCGAACTTCTAGAGAGTTGATTATATATAATTATGGGCATGGCATGTGAATAAGTGTCTAATTAAAGATTAATAGACCATTTGAGGACAAAGGTTCAACTCCCGAATCATCTTTAAGATCGCATTAATGTTTGTGTAAGTTATCTGGTTATCGTTGAAGTATTTGAATACATGATTAGTATGCTTATCATCTGACCGTAGCGCTATCGTCAATATTTATTTTATTGGACATCTGACCGTATCGCTATCTCCGATAACCACTATGCTGGACATCTGACCGTAGCGCTATCGTCAATGTTTATTTTATATAGTTAAACATATAAATACGATAATACCACACCAGGTATAACACACACTATTGACGCGGATAAAACCGATCACAAAATTCACAACGGTATAGTGCACACTATTGACGAGGATCACACGGATTTGACTTTAAACAGGATGAACCTGTTATCATCATACTTGGACCGTTTGGACTTGTTTTGAAGATACTGTCATTAACAATAACAATGTTGTTAGTAAACAACAAACTAGTTATCATTCGCGGTATACTCAGTGGTATCGTGACAGTATCGTCCCGTTCTAACTCACTAACCTCTCGGACCATCTGTCCGGGATCGTAACTTGATTCTACGAATATATAAAAATACAGTTTACATACCAGTCACCAGAATAATCTTAGCTGGAATAAAATACAAGGTACTCCCCACTCGATTCGTCGATAAAAATAGCAGAAGTATCAAGTGGGGATAATTTGATCGTGTCTCCTCCGTGGATAGATCCCGATGTTAGTGGAGTAGAACGGAACGACACTAAGGATACCAAGTAATAAGTTGTAAAACCCAAGGTCCCGTTATAGATTGGAAAAAAGTGGTCCGCATCACCACGGTAAGGTCTCCATATTCCCCAATAGGCGCGTTTTGAAAAAAGAGTAAAACGTCAAACACCATATCGGATTAAACCTCGACAGATTCTGGTCGCGTACAATGTAAACAGATAAACTTCAACAACCCATCTCAAATCCACAAATGCGATCCGATTTCTAATCGATTAAAGCGTGTAAACCTCAACTGCAGTGTAACGCCCGTTCGTTCACTGGTTCAGTCGTCAGTAAGGAGGGGTTTATTTTACAGACTCAAGTACATTTCGTCAATCGATGGTGGTCGCATAAGTATCTCGTTCAAAGGTTGATTCACAACAACCCACTCTGGATATATCTCCAATGACAGACTTTGTGATCTACCCCCCCCCCCCATTCACTTTGAAAACCAGTCTGATTTTGAGCAGAAAATTGATCATCCGACAGATGGGTGTCAAAAGCATGTAAAAAGGAGGGGTGTTGGGTGGCAAGTACATTTTGTACCTGCCAAGGAGAAGGATCGCCTATCTAACCTCGTGGGCTTTCTCCTGGTCCTCCATTTTCCTCCCACTGCTGCGAAGACCTTATTGACATACAAATTGTTAGTCCCGAAATGTCGAGTGGACGTTAAACCCCATTTTCTTCTTTTATATAAAAAGTCGATGACGTTACTAAGATATATGAATTTGGTTGAATTTTAGATCTTTGAAAAAATGTACCCACCTGTGGTCTGGAATGGACAGCGTGAAAACAGTCACCAACATCTGCATGGCACATGATATCGCCGGAAGACATACTAAATAATATAGCCGTTTCTGGTAGGGTCCAAATTCTCCCAAAATCTCTATAATTTCATCAAATTTCATCTCTATTCAGTGTCGTGTATCCGAGACGATGCTTTAAGCACTAATAAAATCCTTGTCCAGAATTGTTCTGTTAATGTGATCCCCTGTACACATTAACCAGTAAACGAAGAAACCCTCTGATACCAAACAATACGCGCACCTGTTTTCAGTCCAAAAGATTTTTCTGTTGTGTCATAGGTTCACTAAGAAGCCCCGGGAATAATATGTACACGTTTGTGTAATGTGATCATCTGTACACAACAAACAATCAACCCAGATCTCAAATAATCCATGTACTTTTCTCAGCCGAATAGTTTATTCTGCTGTGATCAGTTCTAGACATTCCTCTCAGAAACTATGGACAAATTGCACACGAGCGTTGCTGCTATGTGCTCGATGCTAGATAGTACATTAAGAAGTTTTGGGAATAATCGTTAATATACCCTTTTCGATCGTTTATTTGTTTCTTGATTAAAACTGAGGTTAAAGTTATAACCCTAACAATCTACTGTGTAAAATGATAACGATCTCTACTCCAATACTGCTCGACATTATCTGATAAAAAATGACACGTTGAAAATGATATGTGAGTGGAGGAGATAGAAGATACATGACCACTTGATCTAAAAGGTACGTGGGGGGAAATTTACCGAAATTTAACCTTGAGGACGGGTCGGAAAAATTTTATTGCACTATTGTATTGTGTTTGCTTTTGGTTATCCGATCTGATAATCCTATTAATGTTTGACAGCCATTGTAGTCTCACCGGGTATCGATGCAAAAAATATATATTAGCTCTAGATTTCATAAACCCATATCATTTCGCTTGGATTTGGGCAGCTCAGTGTTCAAGTCCTAGGTTTACTAATCATAAAGCCCCAGTGTTGGTCGATAATGTTCTCCAGGACTATTCAGCATGATTTCCCCCTGCCACTGGTTCGACTCGTTCAGAACGAGGGTCTAGTTCATCCAGAAGTTTCTTATTATAAGATCCACGGCGGAACAGTTCTGCTGGTCAATATGCACAATCCAGCAGTGCAGAAGACTACTGGATTGACCAAGTCATCGGATTCTTTTCTTCCCCAGCTTTAATCTGTTGATACTCGCGATAAGATTCTTACCCCATTTAAACACATTAATGAACAACATCCGAAACGTGAAGTGTGAATAATACAGATCTACCACAACCGATCATAAACGATGGTCAACGGTCAACACATGGACCATACAAAATGGAAATGCGAAATGAATGTTACTTTTATTTACTTACACCGAGATAACGACGTCGGACACAGGCCATACAGTGGGCTTTTAGGGAAATTTTGCCCTTACAGCGGCTCGTACGACGTAATTCCGATAAAATGTTGTCTGTTGGGGTCTTTTTTTTTAATTCAACTTGTTATTAAAGTACCGCCTGTGTAAATAAGACTAGATATTACCATTTCCTATTTGAGACGGTATATGTGTACGGTAGACCGATGTTTCAGCCATTTTAGAATAATGCGGGCTGATTGGTGCTAACTGGCAAACCCCCTATCCCCCCACACACACCACCACCACCACCCCGCTACACGTACAAAGCTGCTATGATGTTAATGAAAACAATACAGATCATATATCCATAGGTAACGTAAATAAACACCATTTAACATTTTATTTTTAAATAAGGAAGAGTATTTTATTAAAAAAAAATCTTTGAAATATAAAAACAGTTAGAAATATATAAACATAATATATGGATATTTTGAACTATCAAATAAATAATAAAAATAGATAAAATGTTCTGTTCAAGGTCTAAAACATCTGTTAAAATGTTCTGAGCAAGAACTAAAACTTCTCTTTCAGTTCATATTTTCCTCCTCTAGGTTCTTCTTCAGTTGTGTTCATATGATATTTCGACTTTTTGTTTTTCCTGAAAACAGAAATGAAATGGGGTTAGATTTTTCTACACCAACCGGGCTAATGAAGACAGCCACAGGCGCTACAATTTATTTTGAATTCCAGCCAAGGGTTCTTTAACGTTCACGCTTTAGCATACCGTCCGAGCGACTAGACGCTGTTCCTTAAAACTATGTGGAATATGATATAAATAGATTTCTTCCTAGCGGGGCAGCCAGGATATCTTGGTATCAGTAACCAGAAAGCCAGGAATTCGATAATGGGCTGGAATGTGGGTTTTTTTCAGATAGATGAACTGTAGGTTCAATGAAGTCATTAGTGTAATCCCAGAGGTTGAATCAAAAACAATGCAAATTTGTCACAGGTGTAAATATGTCAGTAAGAAATTAAACAAACACAATCTCTAGTTGGGCATTTGTCATTTATTCTTGAATGGTATCCCTTTAAGATGAGTGATATTCCATCTATTCCTACCTTCCAAATTGTTTAGCATCTTCAATAGTCTCTGGTAAAGTCTGGTTCAATGTTTCTGGTAGTAAAAGAGATAAGAGACCAGCAGCTACAGAAGCTCCACCAAATACCAACAGTGGTAGAGCAGTACCAATATCACCCTTAACAAGAGTTCCCTGAAATAGTATATACAACAATGGTATCACCCTTAACTATAGTACCCTGAAATATTATATACATTAGTGGTAGAGCAGTTCCAATACCACCCTTAACTTTAGTTCCCTGAAATATTATTAATACACCCACAGATCAGAAACTGACTCACGGCAGATTACCACCTGTGTAAGTTCGACATTAAAGGAAGATACACCACTGGTAAATTGAGAAAACCCATCCGGTTATAAAGGCGAACCTTGCCCTTGTCATGCATGTACAGCTGTTGGGTGTTCATCTGTTTAGTGAACATAAAATAAAGTCATTGTGCGATATAGCTGAGTCTGTGCTGCACTGTCGACAGTCGAAGCCAAAAATTTAAACAGAAGAACTTCCTATCAATATTTAGAAAATCTTACAGATTTTTGACCATACAAGAGTTTATTTAAATCAGAGCGGTCCAGCTCCTTATGACTTACCAAATCCGCGATATACGGTGATATCATTCCACCAACACGAGCACAGAAGGAACTAAATCCCATTGCGGAGTTTCGGGTTATGGTAGGGAACAGTTCTGCGGCAAAGACGTAAATAATGGCGAAAGCAGCCGATGCACCAAGCTTCCCAACCATCGATAAAGTTATTGTGATCCACTCATATGCTGTAATGGTAAAATAAAGCCCAGTTGAATCAAACTAATTGATAGATAAAGCCACACTAATATAATTTTCTGTTTTTTGAGAATCGAAACCTACGCCCCCACCACACCTAGACACACGCAAAAGAAAATGTTACAAACAGTCATATTAAACTGAGTCATATTAAACTGTATCGAAAATAAAGCCATTGATTTTCATTTGTATTGTTCTTGCAATCTCTAATTGATGTTACGATCAACAGTCATGTCAAATAAATTAAATGTCACGAAATTAAATTGGACAAAAATCAATACTTACATTTATCAAGGTATATAACGGGGAATATTGTTAATATACAGGTTATTCAATACTTACATTTATCTAGGTATAAAACGGGGAATATTTTTAATATACAGGCTATTCAATACTTACATTTATCAAGGTATAAAACGGGGAATATTGTTAATATACAGGCTATTCCACCTAGTAACATACTCGTACAATGTAGAGCTTTTCTACCCCATCTATCCAGCAGAATCAAACACAGAATGTACGCAGCAGTTTCTACGATATTGGCGATGGTAAAATTGACGTAGATGTCGCCACCTAGATTACCAACATTTAATCCTAAACCATAGTACACCATGCTCACAACCATCCTGAAAAAATTAAATGAAGCGTTTAAGTCATTGATGGCTGGCTACTGGCAGTTTACCTTAAAACGAAACAGATCTTCAAAGACGTCGCCCCGTTTAAAATACATTTTAAAAACTGATATTATTATTATTATTATTATTATAACACGTGTAATCCGACTCTCTGTATTTTCTGTATCATCAGCATTAGAGAAACCCTCTTAGGAGTTGAAGGAGATAACGTAGGTTAAAGCCATCAAAGTTAAGAGAAGCTCCTACTTGTAGCAGAGTATCTTACGAGTTTAAGAAGATAAGACTAGCAAAGTCAATTTGAACGTGTATCTTACCAGTTAAAGAAGATGATTAAAGATCTAATAAGTAAAACTGGGGATGTAAACATTTCATAAACTTTAGCCTGCGGTCCAGAATCTTGAGTATCTTTATCAAACAATTTAACCGGAAGTTCCACTTTATTCACTTCCGCAGCTTTACGAAGAATCTTTTCAGCTTTCTCCGTCTTATCGTGTGCGACTAGCCACCTGGGAGATTCTGGGATAAACCTGCAAATAAAATGTGTTTTTTACAATTATTTCAGTTGAGGGAAGGAGAGAGGGACTTCTGTTTGTAGAGTACCCGGAGACAACCCATCTGGTGAGTCAGGCGACCATACTTGTTAACTAAATCAACCCGATACGATTATTTTAATGGATCGTCCGTTTCCATGTTATTACAATGAACACCATTTTCATGTTTAAAAAGTGTTATTGGATCATCTGTGTCCATGCTATTACAATGATTACTATATTTTGAGGTTTTGAAAAGTGTTATGGATCATCTGTGTCCATGCTATTACAATGGCTATCCTTTTGATGTTATGGAAGGTGAATTTGTTTGCAAGATATCAAGTGTTATGACATGTAACTCAGGTCACTATTTGTGCTGATATTTAGGATTTCAATAATAAGTTGGATTTGAAATGATTTTTACGTAGAATTCTAAAACAATATGCGACACTCACCAAAATATGGCCAACAAGAGAACAGATGGAACTGATATAGCCAGCTGTAGAGTACTCCAATCTCGTATAAAAAAGGCCGTGATAGCCAGAATAAACAATCCAATACACCAAAAGAACTCCATAACTATTCCAGCAAATTTTCTTTTAGATGGTCCTACCAGTTCCAATCCTAGAAAATATATTTTTATTAAAAAGAATAGCTAATAAGGCCCACTCAACACAGACTAACCTCTATCCTAGTCGGGTTGGGTGTTGGGTGAAGAGCAGTTGAAAAACAGTTGTAATTTAACACGTATCAGATGATTTCAGGACTACGCGTACCTCTAATACGCTTGCATGCAGTGGCGCAGCAGCAGAGTGAGTAGGAATAAGTGGGCGTGATCAGAATTTCTTCTGGGCTATGGACTATAATAGGCCTTAAAAATAATGATGTACCCCACCTTTTCTGATTCACATTCCGCTCTTAATTATAACATTTCTTCTGTACAGGTATAATACATTGTAATGTCTTGTTTCTTACTTGGGGGAATCACGGTGGCTGAGTGGGTAAGACGCTGGCTCGCTAGCTTAAAGGTCAGGTGTTCCCCTTGTCAGTGATGCAGGGCTGAGGGTCTGACAAGGACATCTGTCTGGTCGTTCGGATCGGACGAAAAACCGAGGTCCCGTGTACACATTGGCATGCACGTAAAAGATCCCTTGGCTGTTGGAATTCGATATAAGAGTCGGTCGTAGTGCCGCTGTCCGGGCAAAATTTCCCTCGAATCACACTGTATTGCGTATGCCTGTCTTTTCAGCAAAATAAGTGAAATAGGCCCAGAGTGTGTATGGTTGTGGTGGGCGTCGGGGCGGGTTTCTCTGTCCCCAGGAGGTGACAACTCCTACTGCTTTAATGAAAATGCGCAGACATGACTACTTTATATTAAAAGCTCACCGCAGTACGTTCAAACAAGAATAGGGGCCTATTTCTGCAGGTGTTATGCAATCCATTCATTTCACAATACAACATTACCCATGTTCTCACGGGTATCTTGGTCTAACAGTGAAATTTGTGGTATTATTCATTTGAAAGTTCTTTATCTGATGGATACTGCTTTGTCAACCGATGCGTATGACTGGGTTCACACAGTGACTCGCGTTTTCTTTTTAATCCCCCCTTGTAATGACATAAGTTGTCATTTTTTACTAGACAAAGCGATACGGTGTTTCTTTTTTCTTTTTAAATTACATTTTGAGACTCAATTTATTTTTATCAGTTTTTAATGACTCTATTCCCCAGTCTACGTTTTTTTTATATCCTATTTTATTTTCATATTTTAAAGTTTTCATTTCAAAGGCGTATGATTGTTTTGTAAAGCGACGGGGTCACCATGGCTCGTTGAGCACGCGTCGATTCATAGTATATTATCGTCTATCTTTTTTCATCTTTTAAAATTTTCATTTTAAATGCGTATGTTTGTATTTCAAAGCGACAGTGTCGTGGTGGCTCGGCTATTAACCAGGATTTTGCAGCTTGGTTACACATTGTACGTGTTACAGGAATACCGGCCACATAGTAACTTGTACTTAACGTTAAAGACTCTTTAAGAGTTGAAATCCGAAAGTAAACAAAAATGACATTGTTTGTGCGAATTACCCTCATAGTGCGCGGTATGGCGAATGTCAGTCTTCATTTCCCCAGCAGGTACATATAACAGAAATATATTGTTAAACCCCATTTCATTTTGCAAAGTAATATCTAAACACTTTTTGTTTTGTGAATGATGCGCCGTAAATAGTAAAACTATACTTCGTACAGTATAGTTAATTTCTTAATTAAATTAAATTTGTTTTACCCAGTACAAAAGCTGACATAAAGGCACCAGCATTTGAAGCACCAGTGAAGAACCGACAGATGACAAAGACGGTAAAATTAGGCGAGAAGGCTGTTGCTATCGACCCAACAATATGTAATGATACAGATGCCAACATACCAAACTTTCTTCCAATTCTGAAAAAAAAGAGCATCTACATATTTATATATATTTGTAACTGTCGTTTTTCAGTGTTTTGCGGTTTGCGGCTACACAAGGGCTGTCACGAGGTTAAAATTCAGGGTAGGGCTCGATGAGTGTTAGTGGGTAAGAACCTGGAATGCCCGAAAAAATTCCGGGTTACAGACTACTGTCCAATCAATATATCATTTAAAATTCACGGAGTTGGAACCGTCGAGAGAAAATTTTGAAAATTTAACTGCCGCAAATTCTAGCTCGTGAATTAAGCAACTCCAATTAAAAGAAAAGTAAAGTGAAAGTTTTATGGCACTTCCGGTTTTAGAGTGCACGAGGTGTCACATAGCTAGCAGTGAATACGTCACAGTGTGAAATAACAGGAATCGCAGTGGTAGTTTGGTTGTTTTCACCAAAAGGGGCACTGGCCCTGTTCCACACTTTAATATCATTTGTACTATAAACAGTATTGTAATTGTGTTGTTGTTATTGTGTAACGTCCGCTACCACCAACGGTTATATCGCAGACTAATACCTAGGTTAATTTTGGAGCCATGTTCTTAGAATGGTTAGCACGTGTGCTTTGTATCATAAGGTCTATCATTGAAGTAACTGGCTTATGTACGAGAGGTATGGTATGTTCAAACATCTGTCTGGATATTATCCTGTATTGCATTAACGTATGGTTTAGTTAAAGGGACAATAACACTGTTGCTGGCTTGTCAGCTCCAGAAAATAAATAATAGCCTTATTCTATGTATTCGATGTTTAAGTGTCCTACCTGTTGTGTAAATTATCCATTACATCCTATTTGACTTGTTCAGAGGTTTCGAAAATCCAAGTCACATTTGAAAAGGTTTAGGTTAGGCTTTTCAAATCAATTAGTTGAATTTTTCCAATTTTTTAAATTAGGTGTGTTAAGATGAAATTTGTATCATCAATTAATTGGATTGCTGTAAAATAGTACAATTTGTTGACTAGAATTAAGATTGTGACACATTATTCAGTTACAACAAGAGTGGTATTGAGCCTTTAACTTTCGGTTATACATCAGTCAGTTCAATGACTTAAAGTTTCTCATTGCCATTGGAGGGATTGTTAATGTTGTGTTCAAAGTTGAATCTCCAAGAAAGTCCCAAGAAAGATATGATGAACTGAAAACTATGTCATCACCTGTAAATGATATTAAGATATAGCCAACACCCCCGAAGTCACTTATAATATTCTCTAAAATCTTTTGATTGACCTCTTTGTTTAATGTCACTGAAACAGTTTGAATAACAACATCTCACTTACACATCAGACAGAATTCCAAATCCAAAAGCACCAACCAGTAATCCAGCCATATTGATCATGTTGGCATGGGCACGGAATGAAGCATCGTCACAGATCATATTTTGCTGTGGAAAAGAAACTAATCATAATTTAATCAGCTATTAATGGCTTCTAAATTGAAATGTTTTATCATGGCACAATAGTGTGGCTTCTGATTTTTTAAAGAAAATAAAACGAATATAAGTACAATATAGATGTGGATGGATTTTTAAAATAATCTGAGCAAAATAAGTAATATTGAAAGAAAAGTAATCTTAGTAAACTACGGGTTGTTAGATGTGAGCGCGCTAGTTGAAAAGTAGTATCAAATGTTCTAGCGGAATATATGAACTCGCCATATGAGAAGTGGTATTTATTCCAGCAAGAAAAATCATACACTGCCATACCTATAGCTAAGTTGATTTACTTTCTTGATATACACGTAAGTGTTATATTTCTCGACGATTGTAAAATGATTAGGTGACAGAAAGATGGAAATGTTAGGGGAGGGATGGTGGACTGGGGGAAGAGGAGGAAGCGAACTCCTCAAAACGACATTTTTTTTACCTCTGTAATAAACGTATCTTCAAACGTTGACGTATCGTAAACCCATCTGTCACAACTTGTCCGTGTAGCATTTACATCTATTACAGTGCGTGTCGTAACTTTCGTTAGGTTGACGTCATATCTTTTACATGATGACCATTTACCATCACTATCACGTGGTATAGAATGATTGACGTATAACTGATGTAATAGGTCACGTGGTTGGTATGACGTATCATTGTATGGATCCGACAGATGGCACCTGAAAAAAAGTTTCAAAACTTCTAATGAGCAGTAAATATAATAGATTTTATGTATGAAACCAATAGGGTGTTCTACCGTCGCGTTGGTTAGGTATCCATGGTTACGGCAATGTGTACAAGACATTGTATGCTTATCTGTCTAAATGGTTTTATATTCAGTGCACGACAATTGTGAATTTTCGTCACTAGAAGCAATTCGGCGAGACCCCACTGCGCAAGCACATGTTTCGTAGGTTAAAGCGAGTGATTTGAAGCAAATTTTTGATGGATATGTATATTTTGATATATAGTATTATTTGTTCGATTATCCAGTACTATAACTCGTAATCGGATACATTTATTGCCATCATTTCTTCTCATGGTCCTCTGCTCATGGTGCCAATTTTTCGGCGATTCTTCCTGCCTAGCAGTCGACATATTTTGATAAAGCCACTTCTGAAGTGATGATCAGTTTGCTGACTCAAAAAAACATCTCCACATAGTATTATTTTCCATAATGTTTTGCATATATTTCACTAATTTTGGAATTTCACTCATAACGTCATTATTCACTTATAACTTCATATCATTCTAATTTCACTTAAAACGTCATACCATTCTAATTTCGCTTAAAACGTCATATCATTGTAATTTCACTTAAAACGTCATATCATTCTAATTTTACTAATAACATCATATCATTCTACGTCATATCATTCGAATTTCACTTATAACGTCATATCATTCGGATTTCACTTATAACGTCATATCATTCTAATTTCACTTAAAACGTCATATCATTCTAATTTTACTAATAACGTCATATCATTCGAATTTTACTAATAACGTCATATCATTCTACGTCATATTCTAATTTCACTTATAACGTCATATCATTCTAATTTCACTTAAAACGTCATATCATCCGAATTTCACTTAAAACATAATATCATTCTAATTTCACTTAAAACGTCATATCATTCTAATTTCACTTATAACGTCATATCATTCTAATTTCATTCTAATTTCACTTATAACGTCATATCATTCTAATTTCACTCATATCATTCTAATTTCACTTATAACGCCATATCATTCTAATTTCACTTAAAACGTCATATCATTCTAATTTTGTTATTAAATAAATGACCGTCATTTTTATTCAAATGGCATTTTCACATCAGTGTTTTGTTGCTTTTCTGATTTGGTTAAAAGACACAAAGATTATTTTGAATACGATTACTGTCCCGATATATCATCAAATCACACAGCTGGTAAATCGGTGGGGTGGCTTATTGATGAAACGAAAGGAAGAGACAAGACAATAATTCAGTTATTTAAAGGTACAACATTATCTTATCAACTTTACCCGTCTTCATTAGTCCAGTCGGCACATAGCAGTGGGACGTTAACCCCGATTTCATTTATCAACTTTAGACCCAAAAGCAAAGGGTCAGTATTAAAACGCGTTGGTCCTGATGTATTTGTGTATAATACAGGTAGTATACTGTATGGCGTCTTCATTAACCCAGTTGTAGCAGAACAATAGGACGTTTAACCCTATTTCATTTCATTTCATTTCCGTTGGTTCATTAATTCTCAGAAATGTTTTGTATCTATAATTTATAACTTTAAAAAATATTTTCCCTGTTGGTTGGTGTTTCGCAACGACAATAAAATAGTGACCTTGAATGGTGACGTATCCCGAGGACTGATTTGTCGCATCCGTTTCATCACCGCCATGAATAATATACCAAATATATTGTGAATACACATAATACACCAAATATATTAAAGATTCTCAGAAATTTAATAATATCAAAACAAAATAGCTATCTTGAGGCCTTATGTTTAACAAATATATCAAAATGGTGACCTTAAATGGTGACATCTATATTGTCGCCGTTGTGAATTATATATGTATGTATATACGTATATAATTTATTCTCTAGATGGCTTGACATGGCTGATATTTAATAACGTCTAGGATATGGTCATCGTGTAGCAAGCGGGCTTGAGATCACAAGCTGAAAAATATATCAGGATTGTAACTCGGGCGGTTCCTCCCACTGCTTTCTGGGTAGAATGTCTCTGATAGCCGGTGCATGGCGTCCATCAGTTGTTACAAAATGTATACATGACGTCAAAACCCAAGTTTTTTTATTTCTATATTGCACAATATCCCCTTAAAATCCATAAGACATTGAACACCGTCATCATTATTAATTTGCCTTGGCCTAGAAAATTCATGGCGATTTTCCGACGTGGCTCCCACTCGTCAGTGGCCCCTACTCGTCTGTGGTACAGGTCAGAGTCCCTGACACTGGACAACCTATAGTCGTTCAGATGGAACAAGAAACAACCGAGATCTCGTTTACATATTGGCGAGCAGGTAAAGGATACATTGGTACATTGGCAGTTGGAATTCGATATAAGAGTAGGCCGTAGTGTCGCTGTCCGGGCAAACTGTCCCTCATGGCACATTGTATGTCTTATGGACGTCTTCATCCGCCCAGTCGGAGCAGAACTGTAAAACGTTAAACCCCATTTCATTTCATTATCAATTTGTCCCCAGACGTTAACGATATCTTTCTTCGTGTTAAAATGCTCTACTTCTTTTTTAAAAAACCAAGGTAAACATCATATCAGAAATAATGGGTGCAATTTAAGATGACAACAATACAATTATATACTGCAAGGTACTTTGAATTGTGATCTCAATTGATCTGATATGTTCATTTGTTGTTTGTGATTTCTGTATATTGTGTTTGTGTATGGTGCAGTCACCCTTGCATTTAATATTAATGCATTGAATTGTCAAAAGAACATGCCATTAAGTGCTATGTCCATTTTGTTGAAGGGCGTCGACCCTCGAGCAAGATTAGTAAGTGTACGGACGCAGATCTTGGTTGAAAACTTTGAAAAAAAAATATTTTATTATTTCTTGCATTGTCTATATAGTTGTCTTGTGGGGGTTGTGGGGGGGGGGGGTCTAGTGGTTTATTTCTTAAAATGTCTGTACAGTTTGTTTTATCCATAGATTTCACTTGTCGATTTTGATTTACGTGTAGCGCAGTTCCCGTGCACTTGCCAATATATGTTTCTGACATGAGGATATGGGTTGTCACCGGGGTTAAGCAAGGCGTCAACAAAATACAGTTGATATCATGTAATTATTCAATTTTTGTATTTTCGCCGGGATTAAGTATCGCGTCAACAAAGTACGAGTTCATATATGTTTCTTAGGTGGGACCGTGTGCAATTTCATCGGGGCTAAGTATAACGTCAACAAAATACAGTTAATGTCAGGTTTCTTACGCGAGTATAATGTGTGTTATTTTGAAGGTTTGACATTTTACCGGTAAGTGTCACGCCAATGTTTGTCATTTTGTGGCTAGCATTTTGGTTTTTTTTTATGTTAGAGATAGCAAGATAATATTGATGTTGTTATCTTGCCGTGAAACAATAGAATCCTATTATCAAATATTAAAGACACAATTAACAGTTTATTAATCAGTACACGAGTTGTGTACCGTATGGTTTCGGGTGCCATTTTGTGATGAACAAATAAAAACATATACAACACAATGTGGAAGTAATTCGTAAAGGCTGATTCACAAACAATATAAACCGTTCACGTATTTCATCGAACGTAATTAATTAGAAGTTACAATATTTGAACTGTTTACGTATTTCATCGAACGTAATTGATTAGAAATTACAATATTTGAACTGTTCACGTATTTCACTAAATATAATTGATTAGATATTACAATATTTATATAAAATTGAATATAAAAGACCTTTCATACATTCATATTACATTAATATATGCTTTTAAAATCATTTAAAGGTTCCATTTCAAGGTTCCATAAAATATAGCCATCCGCCCTTTAAAGGGGGTCGTTTGACTTGATTAATTTTGCTAAAGGAGAATTATGATCCGAGCAACACTTGACAGGGGACCGAATTAAGTATTTTAAAATCGTTTAGAGCGTTGACAATCAGTAATGGAAAAAGATCAGCCCTTTTTAATACCATGTTTTGTATCCATGTTTTGTATCCAACCCATGGCATGAAGATGCAATATAGGATTAGCTCTCTCTCTCTCTCTCTCTCTCTCTCTCTCCCTCTCTCTCTCTCTCCTGCCTACCTGTGGTCTGGAATGGACAGAGTAAAAACCGTTACCAACATTTGCAAGGCACAAGATATGGCCGGAAGACATACTAAATAATATAGCCGTTTCTGGTAGGGTCCAAATTCTCCCAAAATCTCTATAATTTCATCAAATTTCATCTTAACTGTCGGTGTTTCTTTTCCAAATTGGATGTGACACTGTCTAAACTCAGTGCAAATGAACCACAATACTGTATGCAGTTTGAACACGGATATAGTCAAAAACTCTATGTGGTTAACGTCAATCTGAAACACGAACAATTCAACCACAGCACTGTTATGAAGCAAAGTGACGTTAGATAAAGTCAAAACATTGCTTAGCCATGCGTATCCTCGAACTCATATGACACTGTATTTAAGGTGGAGTCAGCGATATCACCTCGGTGGAAGCAGACGTTAAATAACGCTATTTCACACGCACACATCCGTATACAGTGTATATATCAATGACAGTACGGACTAGTTGAAACATATAAATAGTATGCAGAAAGCAGAAAGTATCATAGACGGATGTAGTTAGTTGTAAACATTTTTCATAGAAATCTGAGTAAAGAAAGGGTCAGTGCACATTGGCGCAGTAGGAATTTGATATAAGAGTTGGCCTTAGCACCACTCTCCGGACAACATCTTCCTCATAGCACACTGTATGGCGTAAGCCCGTCTTCATTAGCCCAGTCGGAGCAGAACAATAGGACGTTAAACTCCATTTCATTTCATTTCATTTCCAAAAGGAAATGGAAATCTGTATGGACAATTACATTTATATAAGTTACTTTGACGATGACTTACCATATATATAATTATAATATTTAATGAGCTTTGTTTGAATAGAAAGACATGAATTTAAAGTGGCGAGCTAGTGTAATTTGTCGTAGATGATTGAACTGATTGAATACATTAATGATATCGTAAACATTCTAATATTTTATGCACCTGCACTCACGATATGCATATTACTGTAAACATTTTAACAGTTTATGCACCCGCACTGACGATATGCATATTACGGTAAACATTTTAATAGTTTATGCACCTTCACTGACGATATGCTTATTACTGTAAACATTCTAACATTTTATGCACCTGCACTGACGATATGCATATTATTGTAACAGTTTAAGCTCCAAAAGAATCCATAAAGAACAGAATGATCATACGTTTATTAAAAATAACTACCCTATATATACATTCAGGAAATGAAATCGAGGATATTTTACGTGCACGTCAATGGGTACACGGGACCGCCATGTTTTATCACCTCCGAATGACTAGACAGCTGTCCTTGTCAGACCCGTAGTCCTGCCCCGATGAACTTTCTCGGCCAACACCGGGATTGAACCCACGACCGGCAGACTTACCCACTTAACCACCGTTATACATTCACAAGAATGCCCCTTTAAGTTATTTGACATAGACGTTGTCATATAAATAACCGTAACATCAACTTAAACAGTTTGCAAAAACATTTTATGTGCCTTTTATACGTAATTATTTTATATCGTATTACAAGTAGGCCTCCTCTACTATAACGTTTATCTTTATAAGTAATTATTTGAGAGAGAGAGAGAGAGAAAGAGAGAGAGGGAGTTTAACGTCCACTCGACACAAACTAGTTCCTTTCGTGACTAACATATGGTGTAATTTGATTTCAATAATTCGCTTGCTCGCGAGATTGGACAGGCGACCCTACCCCTTGTCATGTACAATGGGGTAATCGAAACCACGCCAGTTGACTCAATGGCAGACCTTATGATACAACGCGTGCGCGCTAACCATTCGGCCATCCAACCCCACCCCGCACAATCTATGAACATGGCTCCACAATTAACCTAGGTCTTAGTCTGCGATATCACCGTTGGTGGTAGCGGACGTTAACCAATAACAACAACACAATTTTGTCCTTTTGTTGTTAATTTTATTGAACTGATGAAATATTAATTATTTCGGAAAGGGGTTGGGGAGTTGGTTGTTTACGTCAGAAGAAAGAATTTAATGTTCCCTTAATACGAACTATAGATGATTTCGACTGTCTTTCAACGAGGGATCTTTAACGTACTGTAAATGGAAGCTTTGCGTTTCTGCCTACTCTTTATCGAATTACAACGTACACGCCTCGGTTCTTTGTCCCATCCAGACCAAGATTAGAAAATTAAGAATCTGCGAATACAAAAACATTAACAAATTGGGTTCAGAAAAAGAGGTATATTCATACACCAAGCGTGGATAAATGAATATTACACAGATTTCCTAAGAATCACAATTTAAGAGAAACAGTGTCAATATATTCATAGCACGATCCTCCATTCATTTCTTTAATAAATACATATTGTATTAAAAACCACCAGAGTAAACACTCAACTTGTATGGATTATTAAAGATTAACTCTATTTAAAATACAGATGTGACGTCACCCTTTGATGTTGGCGTACCATTATTTCAAATAATCGTACGGGCAACTTGCCAATAGTACTTTATTCATACCAGTGAGATATTGGACTAGTGTGACGTAAAAGCTCGTGCGGGGTGTCAGTATTTTAAGATGTTTAATGGTCTCGAGCTTACGACATTGCGTAATATATTGTAAAAACATTCGGGCCTACGGTCCTCATGTTGTTACAATATATTACTTAATGTCTCGCTCTCGACCATTAAACAATACATAAATAGAATCTCTAGAATATTGTTAGCTTAGCATTCAAATATATCATCTGAAACAATGTATAGAGTTTTACATATGAACTAAAATGTGATAAATATCAAAACGAATCTGGCGTCCTGTGAAGGATCGATAGAGGATAATTGAAGTTTGTGTTGCTTACAATAACCGAGAGCTGAAGAGCCAATATGGCGGCCAAGAAGAACAATAGTGATAACTTGGTCGTGACTCTTCTCTAAACTGTACTATAGTGTATATTTGCGTCGTATATAAAAGGGAAATAAAAAAAAAAAAAAAAAAAATTATAAACAAAACTATATAAACAAAAGCCATGCAAAATATAAGGGCTACAAAAACAACTGTGGGACCTGAAGGTGTTAGTGTGACAAATGAACTCAATAGAGAGAATACAATACTTATATCTCCAGTATATGGTGAGACAAAATTGTCATCAGTTGAACTTTTAACATTTATCCTAGCCCATGATAATTTTGATATAAAATATATTAAATGTCTTCAGAATATAGGAAATGGGAATTTCTATCTGACAGTTGACTCTCAACAATCTAAAGATATCTTTGTTGGACTCTTTGAATCATTTACCATCAATGATCTGGAATATGAGTCGAAAGGCACCATCAAAGCTATCTGGGAATACCCAGTAGACTCTATCCCGATAATTATCTATAATCTATTCTATGAAATAGATAATAAGGACATTGCACGAAAAATATCAAACTATGCCGATGTCATCAGATGTGAGAGGCCATGCTACAAAAAATTTCCAACAATAGAAAGTGGGGTGAGAATCATTCATGTCAAACGCGTGTTCAAGCCTATCCCATCCCATATTTTCATAAAAGGCCTACGAGTAGGCGTTAAATACGAAGGGCAGATCAGATATAATAAGATTTGTTTCAACTGCGGAGAACAGGGCCACCTAGGAAGGGATTGTCCCTTGCCTGACAAACGTACAAATAAATCTAACTTCTCACCCATCCCAGAGGATTTTCCACCCCTGCAATCCTCTCCATCTACAGAGCTACCTATAACTCCTGATCCATACAGAAATATAGATGAGCTACCTATAACTCCCAAAATGGATCTAAATCTGAAATACTCTCCTCAGGAGAATTCTACAACAGAAAATGATGAAACAGAGTTGAAACAAACCCACTCTGACACATTTGATCCAAATAATGATGTGAATAAAGACGACCATAAAATTATTGATACATTAATGGATTTTAATATAAACAAAAATGATGTTGCAGTCAAAGAAGCACAGGAAACTGAGTGTACCAGTGCAGACTATGTTAAAATCCAAGATAGCAAAAATACAAAGAAAAGGAATATTAGCAATAATGAAGATGTAACAGATAAAAAACTAAGAATGAAAAGTCCAATAGTTGAGGTCTTTAACAGACTGACTAGAAAAAACTGATATAATAACTAAAAAGTGAATTGGACTCAATTGTGAAATCATATTAACTGAATAAGTTTATATATAACAATACAATTATTATTCTACAATGTCTATAGTGAAAATCTTGATTATCTCACTAATTATGCATATTATATCCTCTAATATTCAAAGAGGCTTTGATGAAAAAATAAACATCTTAACAGATAAATTCAGCTACCCAGAGATACTCTGTTTACAAGAAACAGTGTCAAATACTAAAATTATAAATGAATCCAAGATATATCAAGATGGTAACTATAAAATTATATCAAATACTATTGATAATAACTATCTGGGAACAAGCATGCTTATCCGAAATGACATTGAATTTAAAGAACATACATATCCAAACTTACTACAAGGAAGGTACCAACATATATCATTATACATTAACGATAAAACAACCAATGTAATGAATATATATGGCCCTCCTGGTTCAACTAAAGAAAAACAAAATTTCTTTCAAAGTTTACACAATCATATAATAAATATCTATAATGAGAAAGAATACTACATTTTAATTGGTGATTTCAATGTAACAGAAAATAAGATTGATTCCAAAAATGATACCTACTACTCCCAGATAGTTATTGACTTACTTATCAATATCACAAAAATAATAGAAATATCAGATGTTTTCAGGAATAAATTTCCAGACAAGATATTATATACATGGTCCAATACAAGAGGTAGTGCTAGTCGAATTGACAGAGCATACATATCTAATAACCTACTAACTAGTGTTACACATTTAAATCACCATCCAAATACAAAATCAGATCACAAAATTTAAAAAAAAAGAAAAAAAAAAAAAGGAGGAGGAGGAAAAAAAAATAAGAACGAAAAAAAAAAAAAAAAAAAAAAAAAAAAAAGTTAAACTCGAGAGGGTTGACCTTAACCTTGCCATTACTCCCTTCAATAACATCAATATAAATATTATAAAAATAAATAAATAAAGTCAGGTGTCGTTCGGTTTAACGTGCTACTTTTTTGGATTTTTTGATCTAATGGATCCGAGCATACAATGTTTTTGGGTATGGGGGCAATTGTGACCAGGCATCATTGCTAGGAATTCTTTAACGTGCACGCTAAACTATACTTTATGAGACCTTGGGTTTTCGTCTATTCTTGATCAGGACCAGAATATGTTCCTTGTCAGACCTTCCGTCCTGTACCACTGACAAGGGGGAAATCCCTTTGAAATATCCTGTCATGGCTACCACCGGGATCGAACCCAAAACACCTGTTTGTGAGTCATTGTCAGATTGAATAGGTCAAATACCACCTATGAGAAT